CTCTCTCTCTCTCTCTCTCTCTCTCTCTCTCTCTCTCTCTCTCTCTCTCTCTCTCTCTCTCTCTCTCTCTCTCTCTCTCTCTCTCTCTCTCTCTCTCTCTCTCTCTCTCTCTCTCTCTCTCTCTCTCTCTCTCTCTCTCTCTCTCTCCCACGAGGAAAACCGCAACGTGAATGCACTATTCCTCTCTCTATTTACGTCATGTAACTCCATTGCAAATTTAATTGTATATTTGCTATGGCTTTATGTTCGGTAAATAATAAAAATTTTGAATGTAGAAAAAAAGAGAGCAATCTCTCTTCTAAAATTCATAAACAAAATAACTAAAAATCTTTTTCGAGAAAAAAGATCTCGATCTTAACTTCAAATTCTAACGCAAACAATTGTTCTAATTTCTTAAACCTTGCGCAATTAGGGTGAAATCCCGGTAACCCGATGTGTCTCAATCAAACGAATGGTCGGCCGTTTTAAAGGGGGTATGAAGATATCGTAAATTCGCACACGTAGGTGATCCCGATCGGGAGCAATTACGGTGGAACACGTTCCATCGAATAGAGATTAGTTTGTCCGCAATGACTTTCAATATCCTTCGGGCACGTTGAACCGCGCTGCATTACGCAAGACACCTGCACTCTAGGAATTTCGTGCAGCCGCGATGGATAGCGCGCGAATAGATCCACCGGCCGAAAGAAATATTTGCAACATCATACGAGTGTCAATGGCTCGCGTGGAATTAAAAGAGTGTGCTTGTACGGCCATTGACATTCAATTGGAATGATTGACATCGTGCTAGAGAGACAAATTTTAGCAATCAATCGATTTTCAATATATTCCGATATATCCCGAAGAGTATAACACGACATACCGGTTTACAGTGCCTTTCAATGAAAGGCTTTCATAGAGTCAATATATATTTTATTTCATCGGGTATAGTTTTCGTAACTTTACGACACATTCGATCTATTGACTGACTGCGATAAAAAATCTATATTTTTTTATGATATATATGTACATATTTTTACATGAAAGAAAAACTCAAATATACACCGCTTTTTATTCAATTGTGTGCTCGTGTGTTGTATCAAGGAACATTAATAAAATAAATATTGTTATTTATAAAATAAATATTCATATTATCTTTATATAATATTTCATTCATTGTCATTATATTATCATTAATATAATATTTTGTTTCCGTAAAATATTGTTTATTTAAGATTAACGAAATGGTGCGCGATAATTAAATTTCTAAAATAAAAAAGGTGTTATTTCCGTACACGACAACGCAATCAAGCGTTGGATAATTATTAATTTAATACAAGTGACAGTAGTGCTATACGAATTCGTCAACTGTCAAAACAAATCATACATCTTGCATTTTCGATCGATCTTATTAAACTTCTGACACATTTTATCGCGAACATGTAACGACGCGTTCCACGCGTGATTTATGTCGACCGTTCGTTTGATAATAATATAATTCATTATCTTTCAGTTATTTGTGAAAAGCGTCTATTGCACGTGCACACTAATGCAATTCCGCATTGGATAATGGAAACTGTAAACGTATAGTAGAAATATGGATTTTCAAAACTTCGTTATCTCTTCTCGCTTTTATGATAAACGGCGTATCTCTGTGAAATAGAATGTGAACGTATAACCTGATGCTGTAAAAAATCTTCCAATTAACAGAATTGATTTATCTGTTCCATTTATATATGATATGTAACTGTTAATAATACTTCTGTTTATTCCATACGATCATCAATCATTATTTAAATGATTGTTGGAATAAGTTTACTAGCAATGGCAATAAATCCCAGATAGTTATATCTAATCACATTTAGTCATTTACGTTTGAAAGATTAAAATAGAAATTAATCGTGATTCAAATTTTGAATTGAGCAAATTTATGTGCCTTGATACTAATGCAGAAATATTAACGTCCACTTTATACGGCCAGAGGCAATAAATCCCAGCGACGAATTTTACTATAAATTCATATTCTGCTTATCGTTGCGTGCCCCGAAGGCGTATTTCGCAAATAATTCACCCAGGCCGCGTTAACACGTCGGCTTATATGGTCGACGAGGGAGCAGCTTTCCCAACGAGATATTCATACAACGTACGATTTTCTAGTGGACAACCTGTCCGGCGAGAGACTAGAATTAACCAGGGTAGACAGGAGGCAAATGGGGGCTTATCTTTGCATAGCGAGAAACGAAGTGCCTCCGGCGGTCAGCAAGAGGGTTAATCTAAAAGTAAATTGTGAGTACCTGAAAACGGTTTATAGCGCTTTACGTCGACAACACCTCAAATCGAGACTGAAATCAATTGATAAACAGACAAGTTTGTCTATTCAATTTAATGTTTATTCTTCGACGTACTTTAATGATACGTTAGAATGAGAAATAATATCACTTATAAAAGATACGATTTTTGCGATAGTAAGAAAATTATATAACAATGAAATTAAAATTATGTAATACAGTTGTACACAAAGTCAGTATTGAATAATACCGGATATATCTCATTTTTCCTTATGCAATTCCAGTTGCTCCTACTGCAAAGGCGCCCAATCAATTGCTCAGTTCGCCTCTGGATACAAACGTGTCACTAATCTGTTTAATCGAGGCTTATCCCAAGACGATTAACTTGTGGATGCGGAAGGAGCAAGTTATCATGAGCGGGTATGTGCCAGGACAATATTGACAGTTTAGGCTACCGCGTCCCGGGACGCGGTTCGACCCCGTTGTTCGGCAATCTCGCCGGCGATAAGAGGCAAAACGTTGTGCAACTTTTTGCTGGATCACTCCTGACCTAGGTCACCGTGATTTCGGATATCGATTCCGACGACGACGAGCCGGTTATTCTAACGAGATGTCGAATAGCGGAATCCATTCTCCTCCTATCTCGAACACTAAACGTAAGTGATATGTCAATCTAGAGGCAGATACGAAATCGACGAGCGAGGAGACCCCGACGAGGAATGGAAGACGACGATCGTGTTGAAGATAAGGCGCTTGGAGAAAACGGATTTGGGCGAATACACGTGCTCAGCCTCCTCAAGCATGGGAAAAGCCGAGGCGACTCTCAGGGTATACGGTGGGTGGTCATGTAGTACAAAGCCGGATGAATACATCATTCTCTGGCAGTCAGCGAAAGCGGAAAATTTTTATAAAAAATTTACGATCCATCAAAATTCTCCCGGCAACCTGTAATTATTATCGAGAGTGATGTTTTTCTTAATGCAACAATATGAAAAACAATTTCAAATACAATTAAATAATGTTATGCATAAGAAGTTTGCTATTTTTTTAAATCACGAAAACTATTATGGATTGTACATTTCAACTTTTGATAAGATAAAATATTCTTCTATATTTAGAATCATAAATGGTATGAGTCGAAAAATTTCTGGAAAATTATTATTAAAAAATATATATTTATTATTGTCCAAACAATAATTTATGGAAAAATAAGCCATTGCTTGAGTATTATAATACATATTTTTTATAATTATTTTCCGGAAACTTCTCGACTCGTTCTCGTGTAATTCGTAAGAACTAAAATAAACTTAAAAAAATACACGAAGGCTGCTAAAAAAAGACACATCCGAAAAGCATCTGGTACAAACACACCCTATCCACAATTCATGTGAATACTTTCAGAAATTCAGCGTCCAGTAACCGTGCCCACCCGCGTCACCTCGACCAACTGGAAGCGGATTAACGGAAGCAAGTCAAAGCCCGGGCGGGGAACGATAGGGATCAATCGAGTTTTCAACCAGCAGTCGAGCACGCCGGCGATGCAGAAGAGCACCGCGCGATTGTTCTACAACAACCGATACGCGACCACATCGACCACTGTGGATCCGCGCGCGCCCTTGATTAAGGACCATGGTAACGCTTACAAGCACAACAATCACCGCAACGACAACCACCAAGATCTTAAGGATCGCAGCGATGCGGCCGCGAATGTCAGCAGCAAGCAGCTTGTCTTGCCATTCTGCCTGATACTATTCTTGACAGTGCGATAATCCTGTGCGATAAAGCACAGGACAACGATGATGAGGCAGCTACTCCGTCGCAAGAGAAGCTACTCTGCGAGCTAGCATAAGATTGTGTTCATCGATCCGACAGGAAGATAAGAGAAAGAAATTTCACGAGGGATCTCCTTGCAAGACGAGGAAAACGATTTTCAGACAACGATGACGACGACGACGACGATGACGATGACGATGACGATGACGATGACGACGACGACGACGACGACGACGACGACGACGACGACGACGACGACGACGACGACGACGACGACGACGAGAGAAGGACTGATAAAAGAACTGACTGCTCGATTTAATTAGCCAGATCGATGGTCTTAGCAGGAAAAATCGTAAGAGCACGAACACTGCAAAGCTTTTACGCGTGGAAGAGAGAACAGAGATGGGAGTAGAGTTTGATCCGTTAATGCGAGTGAATGTCGTCCGAGATAACCACCGTGGATTTTTACGGAAAGACGCTTACGAATGTATTTTTTATGACCCTTTCATCCGTTGCTAACGTGCGAAGTGTTTCGGGGCATAATGTGTTTTTTTAGTTGAACTAAATATAGCATTATCTGAATATTTTTAACTCTCGGACAGCAGTTTATTCGCAGGTCAAAATTTCTTCGTTTACTATTTTGAGACATAAAAATATCTCATTTGATTTCAATCTTATTATACTTATAAACCTTTTTTTGTTAGATAAAAATAATTAAGTAAATAATAAAAATAAACAAATGGTTATTAGTGAAACATGACATAAATGAGAAAAATAGAAGACAAAAAAATATTTTAAACTATATAAATAAATAATATTTATACTATTTTAAAATTTATACAAAGAATATTAATCTTAAAGAAATTTGGATTTAAAAGAATCTTGACGTCGCTGTCCGAGAATTAAGAATAGGAAAGGGAAATTTTTATTGTTCGACGAACGAGTGATTTCTCTTTGTCTTTGTGGGATTAATAGGTAACTTGGGGTAATTTTATACCGTTAGCGTCAAAAGCCTTATACATGCAGGGTGTCTATCTCAAATGAGCTGTCATTTTCGTTGACGAGAATGTGATCCAGAGAGCTTGATTATTTATGCGCGAATTGCACAATCTTGATGTGGATGTACATCTCGCAACAACAATGACGATTCAGTTAAAGTAAACATCCATTACGTTGCCACATTGTAATATGTCTTCATCGATGAATCACATGACCTTTTCGAGCAATTATGCGATCGTACCCAAACGCAGACAAATAATTAGCATACTAATTTGTATGTAAGAGAGGTAAAACGATAATATCTTTGTTTATTGTGATTGTAAGAGAGCGAGATTGAGAACGAGCGAATTGATATTGTACTTGGCATCTTAGCGAGCGTATCATGTCATATCCGAAATAAGATTCATATCCGTAGTGCATATAATAGTATACCGAACACTCTAGGAAGATATATCGTAGGTATCACTTCGGTTATTTTATGTATTTTTTTAAATTACTTGTAGACAAAACTGTACCTTATATGTCGGTAACGAAGCAAGACCACATTATAGGTATAGCATAAGTGGTTAATTGCGAGGAATGACCGATGTATCGCTTTTTAAATAAAAAAAACCGTGTTAAATAAGTCGGCTTTGTCGTGCCAGTTTTTGTATAGGATATGCTCAGCTGTCATCTTGAGATTTGCATGTGTACATTCAGTGATATCTATAATGATGAAGTATATATATATATATGTATGTGCGTCACTATATATAAAATTATCAGGAATTGACAACAAATGTTCTTATATGTCATATAATAATTTCTAGCAATGTTGCAAAGATTGTTCAGTTAATATTCCTCGCAAAACTACAAATCATATCTCTGTAATTAAGACAACTGTGTAAAGCGATATCAGCGAGGCGTTTGAAAGCGTTATAGTTGAGAGATTATGAGAAAAAGTGATTCTTAAATAGTACTATTATGTCCATCAGTGTGGAGTACAAGTCTTAGTTACATCGTGTGGTTTATTATCATGAAGAAGCTAGCATATCCCACACAGAGCGAAATATGTTAAATGTATCTATTTAATAAACCCTGTATATCACAGAATGCTCAATATAATAACTCTACAATAACTATATTAAAAGAATGTTGTTGTTTATAGGACGGAAAGATATATTATACAAGGATACAATGAGAAAATGTGCTCAAATTGGATAATATAGCTTTGGGGAAAAGAACGTGTTGACAAATAAAAAAAAAAAAGAGAAAAAAAATTATCATACAATTTAGCAATGACGTTCGTTTTGACTTTAAGTCTAGCTTAAACGAGTGTATTTTTATGTATCACCGAAAAGACAAATAATAGCTGTTTGTCGCCAAATGGATATCAAAACTGCTTTTTATTCTCACCTTCATCCTTCGTACACAAATACATTAAAGCACAAATGCATCTGCCAAAATGACCCACATTGGAATGTTATGAATGTTATGACCAAAATAAAATACTAAAGGCCATAAAGACACAACAAAAAGCCACGTATGGACTCTTTCTTTCGCCAATCCTAGCACATTTCCAAAAAGTACCCTGAAAACTAAAAATAAAAATTTAGTAAATATATAAAACTTATGTATATATCTACTTCAGATAGAAATGTTTATGTACATACCCAACCTTTCCCAGTCGCTTGTCGAACAAGTTGGGTGCCAATGCTCTGATGTAAGTACAGGTACATATCAGCAACAATATTACAGTCAGTAGACTCTGAAAATTAAATATGGCAGACTGCCAACAAAAAGACAATGTTAGTATTCTTCGAAGTCTTCATTTCTTATTAGCAAATAATTGAATGCATTGTGCAATAACAAAACTATTTAATTGTTAAACTAATAGTAACATCGTTATCCTTTGCGCAAAAACAATATTTTTTTGTACAAACTTCTCAGAAATCAATATTTTAGTTTCAATTTAATTGACAATATCGCCAACGTTACATAAAAGTTACACAGTTCGTTAATTTAAACATTTACTGTAATCCAAAAATATTTCTAATTACCATAATGTTAAATCACGCAAATTATGTAATGAATTCGAAAAATTGTAGACAAACTGTTAAAAATTCCGCAACAAACGGACTGACTTCTTTTGCGACATCACTTCTTTGATGCGTTTCTAACCAATGATTCTGCTAAACCTGCTATAAACTTGACAACTGACGTCATAGACTAAACACATTCTAGTTTTCTGCACTCTCTATAAAAGTCGTGAAGTTGATAATTGTAACAGAAATGGCAATTTGTGTATCTAGCTTAATTGTAATATAGATTATTTTCCAGCTAATAACACAAGCATCGTTGTGTCTTTGTTCGATATCCAATAAAGTAATTATAAAAGTAATTATAATTGGCGTTTTGGAGTGAATTTTGGAGGTTTTGATCGACCCAAGGTTGATTAATGACATCATTGCATCGTCTCCGCCAATAAAAGACTTGAATTTATAGTAAAATAGTGATAAATTGATCCGAGATGGATTAAAATTTAGGTCTGTTTTTTTTTTAGCTGAACTAGCTGCACTAGTTCAGAGTTTATCTTTCTCTTTCCAATGATGAGGGAAAAAGATAAACTCTGAACTAGTGCAGCCAGTTCAGCTAAAAAGAACAGATCTTTTGTTCATTCGAAAACGCTGTATAATTGTTAGAACAAAATGCAAATTATTGAATTAATTGTAAGAATAATTATTTTTTAAGATATAAAGATAGAAAAATATAATACCAGCATTATTTAATGTTATTGAATAAGAACAATAATTATTTATTAAATATAATCAAACGAATATAGAGTTTCTATGATACATTGGTAGTATTTCGAATTTAATATTATTTTCTTTGCTTCTCTCTATTAAAAATAAAAACGTGATATTAAAATATTTATTCATTATTTGCTATCAATATTATTTATTGCAGAATGCAGTTATTTTTTAAAATGGTTTTATTAATCTTTAACATGTGTTAATTATTGTGTGACTTGCAACTTGCGTTTGTATATTATAAGCTAAGCAAGCGGGGGTAAAAATATGATCTAACATATTATAATAAGATTTATAAACCATATATAAAAAATTGTATTACCTTTATATTAATTCAGATATTTATATATATTTTTACACACAATTTTTACACAATAATTATTTGCTTCTATGAAGATAAACTATTATTACTACTACAAGAGAATATTGCGAAATTTTGTCACATCGATTATAAAAATATGTATTGTGTAAACAAAATCCCAACTTCAAAGTATAATATATATAAGCTTAAGTTATGTAAATAGTTGCCTTAGATAAAATATTTATCACAGACGGAGTCAAAAGTACAAGTTGTAACAAAATATCAATAAGGACAGTCTTACAAGATAAATATGCCTAATTACATTCTCCATATAACCACTTGCACCAATAATTTTTTCCTGAATTAACTAATTCTGAGCAGTAATATTTTGTCTTCCTATATATTATATATTTATTAAAATATATATATTCCTATATATATCTTTATAAAAATATAAATATAGGGAGAAAATTTAGCTATTAATTTAATTTACATAAGTAAAACTGGTGCAAATCGGTCTTTACATTCTTGTATATTTATATATATATATGCATGTATATACAATTCTCATGTAGCGGAAGAGATAATTACAAATTAAAGTATAAACTTTAATTTCAGTTGTCAGTTGCAATTGACAACTGGAGTTTATAGTTTTGAAATCTTACATTAGCATAATCATTTCCAATAATAGCTATTCAATAGAACAATGCATCCTTTAACAATTTTATTTAAAAAGAATAATTACGTAAAACTCGGTATAAAATATGTCCAGTTCCATCTTGAATTATTCAGTTTCATTGTGTAAATATATAATGTCAAAAACTTACATTAACGCAAATATGCACTCAATTAGATCAGGTGCAACAAAATTTGCGATCCACAAACTAGGAAAGCAGAAAAGACTTAGGAAATCTAAGTAATGTGATGTGTATATGTGATGTTTTGTAGTGGTACTACATAGTAATATGTAGTGGAAAATCTTTAATTACAAGTTGATAGTATGTTATCTCATCATCCTGCGAAACCTGTCCAACTCAAAAATACTTTCTGATAATCTGCAAAAATTGTTTACATTATTAATAAATTAGGCTTTTGATTCTCTACTATCACAATATTAGAAATCAAATTTACCTGCCAAAAGCATTCACCAAAGCAACAATTTCACTTCTTTCTAGGAAGAACAATTTTCGATTAAGATTATTAAGTGTTGGTTCCCATCTATCAAACTTTCCTGAGAATAATATCTTCAATGCAGTACCCAGACCATGGATTTGTAATTTACCCCATAGCTTACACTTATCGCATCCTACACAATCCATAATGCGTGAGATATTTATAAAATGTTGCCTAAATTCTTCTTTCAATAATTTTGCCTCTGTTCCACCGGTAAACATAACTGTTTCGTTAAAATGTTCTGAAAATGATCTAAAATGCCAATTATATTAGTCATATAAAATAATTATAAATGTATATATTGTACATAAAATATTATTAAACAATACTTACTTAACAACATTCAATATATCATTCATAGCCAGTCTTGTATCTTTATCCTCCACTTCACTACCTGTATAATATTCTTCTCTTTCCAAATAAGGTGCAGCCTTGGCCAGAGCTCTTAACTGTAGTAAATAAGTAAAATATAAATTCTTTAGCCAATTGGGACCTTCACCGCCTGTTGTTTCAGGAGAAAATCTTCTTTGTAACTCTTCCAAGTTGGGACCCCATTGATTATCAGATGACACTTGCAAACCATCTTGAGGGGCTAACAAATATTTTGAACATAGATGTATATTGATACTAGAGTGCAAGCCGGATATGACTCGATAAAAAACTCGTTTTTCTAAACACATTCCTGAAACAATATATACATATATACATATATGATTTAATGTATGTAATTTTATCTTTTTAATCTCTTTCTAAATCAATTAAAACTGTATTTTCTATATAAATATAAATAGTTTAAATATAAAAGTAAACATATAAAAGCCTATGCAGATGTTGCATTAAAAAACATGCAATATATTTAATTATTTCATATATGATTCCATATAAATTAAAAAATAGAGTTAATAGACTTACTGTTCATCTTAGAAGATTGTATAAAAATGTGAGGAGAGTTTTCAGGCCTGTAAATAATAATGCTGTATAGAATTGAATAAAATTAATAATACAACTAGTATAAGTGATATGGGCATAACAGTAATACCTGAAACAATTTTCCATGTAGATACATCGCCATATTCTGTGTGCACTGACTCCTTTATATCCTGTATATCTTTCAGGATTAAGTAAAAGATCCACATATTCTCCTGGACTAGATTCTTTTACACAAAAATTGTCTTGCGCATCATCGTGTTGTTGCCATCGCTCAAACTCTTTGTAATTTTCTGAACTATAATCGAATTTATACTTTATTTCCAATTTTTACTTGATGTGTGTGTGCATATGCGTGTGCGTACATGGGTGTGTGTGTGTGTGTATGTGAATATATCTTACTACATTAACTTACCTAATTGTTGTGTTCAAATAACCAAGTTCTATATTGTGATCTCTCGCACTATGTGTGCAATCAGTAATCTGTGCATTGGGTCTATATTTATCCACTGGACTTTCATTAAAATGAATATTTCTTGGAATCTCTCCTTTTAAACCTTCTGGAATATCGTCCTAGATAGAAGAGATAACAGAAAATAAAAAAAAATTTAGATAATCTTTATATTACAAATATTTAACACAATATAAAGTACTCACATCTTGACATGGTAATACATGACAATAACGTATAGCGCATTTGCTGTCATCTGCCCAGAATGGACAATCCTGTTTTAAATTTACTTTGTAAAATCTAAAATAATCTCTGACTAGAAGACTTTGAATTCTTGGATATATTCTCATATTATTAAAATAATCCACAGTATCCACATTGCACGTACAATCATCTATAGATCCTTTCAGCTAAAATTTTATTTATCAAAATATAATAAAAATTAATATAACATAATATTTGTGCAATTACAATGGTTTTAAATTATGTTAAGATATCTAGACAGAAATTTTACTATACAATCTTTTTAATAGAATAGAAAAGTAAATAATAAAATCAATAGAGAGAGAAAGACCATATTCCCAAAATTGTAGATATATAAAATCACATAGTATAATGGTCTTAAAAGATAATATAAAAAATACATCCAATACCTTGCAAAAACATTGATCATCTTTCTTGGAATTGGTTCCAAAATAATTTCCATCAACTTTTAAATGGAAAAGTAAGACTGCTAGAAGCAGCCGATAGAACATCTTTTCATTGAGTTCGAAATTCATCTTAACACGTAAAAGTCGCTGATACGATCAAGTTGTCGCAACATTAATTAGATCATGAAAAAGTTGATATCATAAAATATTCGATTAGCACTCTGCTGTTTTCGAATCACCTTAGTCGGTCTACGTGCTGCGTGAGACATAAACATCTGACATACTGAGATGTGACATAAACCAATAACACACGCTTCACGAGATTACTTACGCGACAACCTTGAATCCTGACTAAAAGACGATAATAATGAAACACGTATAATACGTATATTTATATGAAAAGAATGTTATTGCCGCTGTATGAACACAACAATATCATAATCAAGATCTTTCGGAGTCTTTCACTACTATAATGTCTACGCCGGATTATGTGACATGTGTACGTGGAATACGTGGAATACGTGGGATTCGTTGAATTACGTGAGATACGGTGGGAAACGTTGATAGGTCTAGATTTATCCCTACTTTCAACATCGAATAGATTCGGCACATGTAGGACGCATTCCGAATGTCCGAATGGTATGCTCACACACATTCGCACGTTACGAACACATATGACACATACACAACACTCGTTCCATTATGGAAGATTCATACTACGTCCAAAGTACGATATTCCATATAAATATGAAAATCTGTCTTTAATCTGATTGGATAAAATTTTTACAAATTTTTTTTATTCGAATAAACAGCGTTTTCGAAATAAATGGAATTGATCGATCCAAAAGCGATTAATCGTAATTTACCATAAACTCATGTTTAAATTGTAAAATTTTTTTTATTATTTATTGAAATATCAGTTCAACTTCTCTAAAAATAAATTTTAGAAAGACAAGTCTTTGTCAAGCTGCAACAGGAAGTGATGATAAAATTGATGACGTCATCTTCTTTCACAGATGTCGCACCGCGCTGTCACAGGCGTTGCAGCAAGTTTAGAAAGTTTCCATTACTTCTACAGGGAATTTTAGAACGCAGTCTAAAGACGCAACGTGGAAGCAAGCCTTTACCATTTGTACGTAATGAACGAAACTTTTCGGAACGAAGTAAAAAAAAGTCAAAAATGGCAATGCAAAATTAAGGAATCTATTTTTAACGATGATTACATATACATAGGATCGTAATAATATGATGTAGCAAAAAATTTGGTGAGATTAGAAATTGAAATGATCGTAATTTCCGGTTGGACGCTTCAACGCCGTTATAAGTATCGCGCACTGATTGGCCGATACACAATGGCGAATACGATAATGGCGAATCGTGAACGCGCAATGCTTCTCGACGGAAATTATTGCTCTTGGAAAGCCGGCACATAACCGGTGCACACAACAGCTAGTCAGATCCGAAGAAGATTCGCGCCGTGCATTTAGCCAGACGCTCCGAAATTATCTACAGTGCACAAAAGCGAGCTGGCGTTTCTCCTGTACTCTAATTTGACTATCTAAAAAGAAACGGAAGCGTTTTGCGCGGTTGGCAGTTGGTATCGGAAATCCTAACGAACGACATTGACGGAGACCGCGTGAGTTCACGATGGCGGCAGTCATGGACTTTCAAGCTCAAGGCGACACGCAGAACGATGCGGAACAAAGCAACATGCATTCACATCATAACGATATTAAAGCTAATCAAGGTAAAGAACTGCAAAACCAACAGCAATCTCAACGGGCGGAAGATCACCAGCAGCAGCATCAAGCTACTGCCGGTATTCCCGGCAAGGATGACGAGCGCAAACTCTTTATCGGCGGACTGTCTCGTAATACCACCGACAAGGAGCTGCGTGATCATTTCGGCAAGTTTGGCGAGATCGAGAGTATTTCCGTAAAGGTCGACCCTCACACTGGTATTTCACGTGGGTTTGCGTTCATGGTATTCACCAACCCCAAGACCATCGACAAGCTCCTCGCGTCTGGCGAGCATTACATCAATAAGCGAAAGGTATGCGAACGGCTAAGTGCTGCTAAGAAATACACATGGAAGATTTCCTTAATTTCGCGCTTTTTTTTTCACTTTGTAAATATGTAGTATTAGATGATTATTTTTGCACTTTGTGAAGGAAATTGTTATAAAATTAATATAATGCAATAAAAGAACACATGGTTATACCATCTTGTACTTGTAAAAGTTAATACTTACTAAAATTATGCAACTTGTATAATAGATAAGTAAAAATTAATAAAATAGCTTTTTCATCTTACGTTCTATTTTAAACATACAAATGCAGAATATGCGATATTCTCTGAGTTTTATTTGCTTTTTCAATCCAACATAATCAAGTAAATAGAATATGAGAGAATAGTGTAGGACGATAAATTTCTTTGGTTCTGAATTTATGTAGAGGGCAAATTTGCTCCTGTAAGTCATACATATGCTGTACTAATTTTACATGATCTTCCATTCGTAATGTAAAATTTGTTATATATGTTTTTAAGCTATGTTATATATAAGATTATAATCATAAAAATTATCATGGTAGAAGTGTAATATACATAAAATGCATTATAAAACAAAAGGTGTTATAAATAAAAAGAAAAATATTTAATTTAAAACATCTTGAATAGAAGGTTAAACAAACGTTACACATGATACGTTACACGTTATACATGCAGCACAACACATATTAAATAAGAATTTTTATATTTTTTATTTACATTTTTAAACTTTAATGCGTACGATTAGAATAAAAATATGAATTGAAAAAGAGTATTATAGAGAATTTTCTTTGTGCCAATGGTAATCTGAAGATATATTAATACAATGTTGGTTATTTTTATTTTATAGGTGGATCCAAAAAGAGTCAGCAAGAAACCTCAGCATGGTAAAATCTTCGTGGGTGGTCTTACACCTGACATTACGGATGAAGATATTAAAAATTATTTTGGACAATATGGGACTATTGTTGAGCTCCAAGCACCTTTTGACAAGGTCAAAAATCAAAGAAAGGGTTTCTGCTTTATCACGTTTGACTCTAAGGAAGTCGTATATAAGTTATTGAAAACGCCTAAGCAGACCATAAACGGTAAAGAGGTGGACGTGAAGAAGGTCAAGGTTAATCCAGATCCAAGAAATCAAGGCTTTTGGATGCCCGGTTACGGATATGGTTATGGTGGTGGCTATGGCTATATTCCTGATTACAATGGTTATCACGGCGGATATGATGATATGTATGCAAACTACGATTATGCCGGATACGATGGCTACGATAATATGGGATATGGACCCAAGCCGCGAGGAAACGGTCCAGGGCCGCGTCAATTTCAAAGACATCAACCATATTAAGTGAGAGAGAAAGAGGTACATAACCATCCTTTAAATCGATATCAAATTTGGTGATAATATGACAGATACATAGCTCTAGTAAGAATTAGAACAATATTTCATCTACAAATACAGTTTGAGACTGAATCAGGGATTTTTGGGAGAGAAAAGAAAATAGAGTTGCAAACAGTTTGCTGTTTCAGCTTTAGAAAACTCCGAATTTCCCAAGTTTAGTACATCTGTTGTAACAACACTGAGGACTTTATGTACATCCATTAAGTGGAAATCAATTGTTCTTTGAAGCAGATGATCAATGTAAAATGACGAATTGCTGGAAATCATCTTTTTGTCTTTTTCTCTGTAAAAGCGTGCTTTTTACTGTACGATGATTTTTATCGTGTAGAATATTTCGAGGGTAAAATGCGCGTCTCGCATTTTCTTCCACAGTAACAGAGCTACGAGCTATAGAAGCGACAGAGATAATGACATAATCATACAGAGCCTTTACCCAATTTGATGAACTTTGCTCTATTTCTACAAAGTGGAGTAAAGCTTATATATAATGTGAAACGATAGCAGCATGATACAATACGAGATGAGTGTAAAGTTTATGGGAAAAGCTTCAATTTCAATTATATATTATAATATTATTCATTCGTGTCAGCCTTTATTTGTTCTTTATTCATAATTTGCAACGATTAATATGTATGTATATCTCATATATTGGGTTGTTCGGAAAATTTGTGCCATAGTTCGAGAAGTTTGCTGAAAAAAAGTTTTAGAAAAAGATCTAATACTGTTCAAATAATCTGCATATTAAAAAAATTCATTTATTATAACGTTGATTTGACTCTGATTTACTTATTTCCCAGAGTTTAAGTTTTGGTAAGATGGCGTCCTCGTAAAATTTCTTCTATAAGTATTATGAAATAAAAGTATATATACCTGAATAAATATAAAAATATAATTTTTACATCTTTTTTTTTTTATTGTAAAATTGATGCAAACTTTTTGAACAACTCAATACTTTGGCACTCTATCTACTTTAATCAAGTTCAACTATCACCAGTACTTTATCTTAGTACTCTCTTATTTTTTATTAGGAATTTAAGTTTCATTATGCAAGTATTTCTTTATTATACTCTTGGTGTTATTTCTGATACTATATATGGAAATTTGATGATAAGTATGTATTGTATCTTTAATTATCATTATTGGATAATCTTGTTTTTTGCAACCGCAATCCGGCTATATAACATATAAACAAAAAATTGATATTAAAGGACCAACAGCTCGTTACTAGGATGGAAAAAATATATTTCTTCCTTATTCATCAGTCATATAACAGTCAAATAACACTATATTACCTTATTCTCTCTTGTTTATAATTTAGCGATAAGACTTAAGCCATATAACATTTGTACATATACGTCGTATGTATGTATGTTCAAAGTACATACATACGTACATGTATGCATGCGTATATCGCCTGAAATAGATTAGTATTTAAAAAAAATATTAAAAAAAGTAAAAAAAAATAGAAAAAGGGATATAATTAAAATATGAATGTCCTGGGTATATGCATGAAGTGCACACAAACGATGAATCTAGCTGAAATACTGTGGATGAAACAATATACCTGTAGTAACAAGGAAAGAAAAACATTGCAGTATAATCATAGTTCACACAATATTTACGCAGCATCTTATCATACTGTCAACATCCTGAACGTGTCATTGTAAAATATGTATTGCCATAGTTAATCGTCTGGCAACTAATTTAAATTCAATGAGATAGATGAAATCTGTCTCGAAGCAAAGTTCTATTACTAAGTAAAGACGATTTACATTTCGTCTGTATGTTCGCTCTGTATAAAAAAGGAAAGATACGAATATGACGAAAATAATGGTTATGTATTTCAAATTCAATGGAAAAAAGCGCATAAAACTGATTGACGTACTCTATTTCATGAGTGAGAGAATGACCTCGATTATCAACCGTCAGATTATATCAGCAAAATCTTTCGTAGTCAGTTATATGTATATGTTTTCGGGCATAATGAAAATTTTATAAAAATGCAGAAATTTGTTAAGAGAACGCCTAGAAAATTTGTAATAGTATCGCCTCTGTTTTCTACTTTGAAATAATATACAAATATTATCATATTTCGATTCGATTCGATTCGATCGGACATCCTTTATAATCGTGATCTGATGATAAACAGTTTTGAGAATCGCGATATAATTCAGAGAAATGTAGGCTCTCAAATTCACCAGCGATAGTTTTCACAAATTGAAATTAAATAAATTTGTGGGTAGGAGAGTTATAAGTTCTAAGAAACTTATTTAGCAAAAATCTCCGACCTAATAATACATTTTGTTCCAGGAAATCGTTCATCTCTCGTTTCGCAATTTAGATCGCAAGCTTTCACAGTAACATCACGTGATAAACAGTGATGAATTCATTCCAATACATTAATATCGACGCAAATTTATGAAATTGTGCACATGAGCTTACTGAGTTAAAGAAACGCTCCTTCTATTAGCCATATGTATCGGCTGCTGAATGTTACATTAGGCAACTTCTATTTTCGTCTCGCTTTACTCGGAGTAATCGGAATGTTTAAGACGGCAAACGATCACAGGTGATAAACAGTCTAGGCTATTTTAACATTTCTTTCGCATTTCTATCGAATAGCAGTTCCTGTTCATCGAGTACGAAGACTGCTCTTTATATCGCGAAAAGACTGTTAATAAGTGATGATACAGGCTCTAGAAAATCTTAACAATTAATAGAACTTGCGATTTCGACTCCTGATATGAAAGAACAAAGTAATAAAGAAAAGTAACATAATTGGGGAGTTGGATACAATAACATCATTAGATTTTTCCTTATACTATAAACTTGAATATGTGTAATAATAAGTAAAATTTATTCCTTCGTTTGCTCTTCCCTTTCAAATTATTGAAATTTTTTAAGCTTTAAGCTTCTTTTTCTTAGAACTATGTAAAGCTATTTATGCTGTTTTTGCATCCAACTCTTTAGTTGTAGAGAATGTAGATAAGATATAATGGGACTACATTTAGATACATCGAAATTATATTGTATACAAGGCTGAAAAAGCTTTAAACATTCAAAAAAGTTTTTCTCAGACGTCGCAAAGGCATCAACGGTTTGGCTTAATGCGATTGAGCGAAAGTTAATGTGAAATAATTCTCTTTGAGACATCTTTAAGCCAAGCTAACTAATGTCTTTGAAATTAAATCTGTATACTGTGTATACCATATATTTGCTGCGTGTGAAAATATATATTGAAAACAGAGAAAACAGAGAATGAAAAAAAAAATTAAAGGAAACGATACAGATATTTTGTTACTATTAATTACTATTCGCCTGTTTCACCCATGACACAGTGTATATTTTAATTATAGCAAAAAAATAAACTCTAATTATTTCAAATATTCTTTGTGATGTTGTATTGCACATTTGTAATGAAAATTTTATACACATATATTATACACGTATTATAATTAAAAAATTATCCACCAATTTGAAATTATCTTATACAGTAAGCTCACATGTGTACATTTTTTTACTCACATTTTTCTAGATATCAAAGCTGTTTGTATTATTTTCTCTATTTCAATTTGAAATATAGCTATATATTTATTTACTCTATCAGAAAAAAGCACATTGCAGGAATTCTCTGAATTCGGAAGTGAATGCGAAACATTCTGAAAGAGACCTGAAACCAAAATTTTAATGTCATATTGTTGATATCTAAGAGAACAATGAATATTTTTTCATTAATATCAGTAATTTGGTTTGTATTCTCTCCTTAATTCAAAATTATATTTTTATATTTATATATACATATATTACTATAAGGGTGATTCAAAATAACATAATGTCCTTGAAATGTCATATTTTTAAGCGATTTTTAAAATGATTTTTCTTTTAGCAAAATTTTCTCCTAAGCTTAATTTTTTAGTTATAATGGTGAAAAATTCGCCATTCATATACGAGTCCGGTACAACGGGCAGGGGCGGTGCAAACGCATCAGACTAACGCGTAACACTTGATCTGATGATACATGCATGATTGATCTGCCTGCCTGCTGTACCGGACTTGTGAAAGCGAATTATTTTTTTATTATAATTCAAAAACCAAGCTTTGGACCAAATTTTGCAAAAGGAAAAATTTTCTTAGAAGTCGCTCAAGAACATTTCAAGGACATCAGGTTGTTTTGAATCACTTTCAATATTTTTCAAGTTTACAATTTTATTTGATAGGTACAACAAATATTTAGCGTACAATAAACTTTTTGTATAAATCTAATATGCATTTGCATCCAATTTGCTACTAGACATTTAATAACAAGTAGCGTATCAAGAAATAGATCACAGCAAATATTAATTATTTTGTTTTTCGATAGATAGCGCTCTATTCACGGTGTGTCTCGATGCTCTCACAGCAGTTTGGATATCCCTGGACACCCCGCTAGTTATACGGGTGGTCGTGACCAGTGACTCGGTAGCGTTGTATGCAGTTGTGTCAATTGGCTACAGCTGCAAGTCGTCGAGCGATTTCTCGCTTTGTTTTGCACCGAAAGACCCGAGCTGAAAACGAGATCGACGGAGAAAGCGCGTGAGCAGGAACGAGAGCCGTGTTCCGAGTGCGTGCGCTATACTATGCCTCACCCAAAATCGGCACGTCGAGTGCCGTTGCGATCGGTCACGCTGCTTCGACGACCGTGGGGATTCGTGATGTAGCCCCTCCTCCTTCCCCGCCGATCTGTGGAAAACACTCTCCCGTGGGCAATCATTGCAACACCCCGGTCACATCGATGCGTCGTCACGCTACGTCGACGAGCTCTCGTGCAACAACATTCACGGATCTTGACCGCCGCGTCGAGTCACCCGCGACTACACGTTCATCGTCATCGTCACTATCGTCGTCGTCGTCGTCGTCGTTGTCGAAATCGTCGTCGTCGAAATCATCATCATCAGTGTCATTGCTATTGCCATCGTTTCCCACAAGAAGTGCCTTCTCCCAACTGTTTGATGGATTCCCGATAGTACGGGAGACAACAACCGTGTACATGCACGTCTCATCTGCCTCGGCGGCGACCGCGACGATCTTGCCGATATACACCTTTGTCTAATCCTGTCCTCGGTGCGCCTCGGTAAGTGCCTCCAAAGTGCCTTAAACGGAATAGACATCCACGCGGAGGAATGAGAGGAGAAAGCGGCAAAAGTCTCGATAGGAAAGGATATATGTTTGTTGAGTTCTTTGATTTTTTGATGCCGCATACGCGTGAACGTTTCGTGTTGTGTGCCTCTGTGACAGAGAAAAAAAACATTCACGTAAGATTTTTCTGATCATATATAGTATCAGGGATTGAAGTTCTATCGGTTTTGAATGACTGTGCCGATTATTAGTCCTTAATTAAAAA